CCCCAAATCCCCGTCTCCATGTCCCCAGCGTCCCCAAGTCTGTCCTCTCGTGTCCCCACCCCACCAAGTCCCCTTCTCACATCTTCCACCCCCGTGTCCCTGTCCCCCAAAACTCCCTCTCCCCACTGTGCCCACCCCACCACATCCATGTCCCCTTCTGTGTCCCCCACCTCTCCTCTTCATCGTCCTCATCCCCCATGGCGTCATCGATGGCGTCATTCATCAGCTCCTCTTTCATGTCCATAATCTCCGCCTGCTTTTCAAACTCCATCATGATCTTCTGGATCTGCGGCAACTTCAGCTGAGGGGACACAGGAACAGGACACGTGCGTGGCACACAAGGACACAGGGTTGTCCCCATGGCCGTGTTGGGCAGTTCATGGTGGCTACATGTCCCCATGGCAATCTCGGGTGGTTTGTGGTGCCTATGGTCTCGGGGACATCCCCTGAGGGGCAGCTCATGGTTGTCACAATCTGACGGACAACTTCAGGGCCACACCAAGCAGCTTCTGGTGGCCATGGCCACAGGGATGTCCCCCTGAAGCAGCTGGTGGTAGCCATGATCTTGGGGACATCTTCATGGGCAGCCCAGGGCAACCTGTGGTGGCCACAGCCTTCGGGGAGTCTCCCCTGCGGCAGTTTGTGGTGACCACAGTCCTTGGGATGTCCTCACGGCCACCTCAGGACAGCTCATGGTGGTCACAGCCTTGGGGAGGGACATCCCCATGGGCACCCACCTGCCGGTTCATGGTGGCCATGGCCTTGGTGACACCCTTCATGGCCTGGGCCATGGAGTTGTTAGACTTCAGGGTCTGGATCTTGAGGGACACGGCCTGGACGTTGGCTCTCATGGTGATGAACTTCTTCACATAGCGCCGCGTCCGCACCAAGTCCTTCGCCATAATCTTCACCGCGTCCTGAAGGTCCGGTGTGTGGGGGGAACATCGAGCGGCCATGAGGTCCCCCAGGAGACCTAGGGGATCTCCAGGGACCCCTCTGTGTCCCTCAGGGCCCACCACGGTACCCGTGTCCCCCATATCCATGTCCCACCATGTCCCACCACATCCCTGTGTCCCACCACATCCCTATGTCCCCCTTATCCATGTCCCACCATGTTCCTGTGTTCCCCATAGCCATGTCCCACCATGTCCCTGTGTCCCACCACATCCCCGTGTCCCCCATATCCATGTCCCGCCATGTCCCCATGTTCCCCATATCCCACCATGTCCCCAGGCAAGTGCCTTGGACCGCTCTGCATCCCCTCGTCCCCTCCGTGTCTCCTGGTCTCCTCTGTATTGTCCCATCCCTACTGCAGTCTCCTGGTGCCCTCTGTGTCCCCTCTGTGTCCCCTGGTGGTGTCCCCTCACCATCTGGCCCTGCTTGGCCATCTTCTTGATGTCAACGATGATCTTCTTCTCCTGCGCCTCGAGCTTCTGGCGCTCGCGGTCAAGCTCCCGCATGGCACGGGCCAGCGCCCGCTGGTTCTGCCGCAGCAGCTCCTCCGGCGTCTTCCGGCGCCCGAACAGGAGGTCCATGGTGGCAGTGGCACCTGGGGACACAGATGGGGGGACATGGACATCAAGGACATGGATGGGGCGCAGATAGGAGAGCACGGACATGGGGGATGCAGGTGCATGGTGGGACATGGATACGGAGGACACAGGGATGTGGTGGGACACGGATATGGGTGACACGAGGACATGGTGGGACACAGGCACCTGGTGGGACATGGGGACATGGTGGGACATGGATATGGGGGACGTAGTGGGACACAGATATGGTAGACACAGGGACATGGTCATGGTGGGACATGGATGTGGGGCACACAGGGACATGATGGGACACAGGGATGCGGTGGGACATGGATATGGGGGACACAAACGGGGTGACATGGATGTGGGGGATGTGGACATTATGGGGACCCAGATATGGGGGACATGCGCATGGAAAGGATATGGAAGGGGGACACGAACATGGGT